TGACCTGTTTTTCAGAACTCTAAGCAGATGCTTGATAATCATTATTTATTTAGTCACATCCCGGTTTTATTCCAGGTGGTTCGGCTTCTTTACCACTATATCTCCTTTCATTACAGAAGCCAATAATTATATTTTACAGCCAAGTCCCCACCTTAATATCATTATCCTATGACAACATGACCAACCACCCCTGAAGAAGGCAGAAACATTTTAGATTTGAAGCTTCCATCTCAAACTGTTTTGTGGGGATCAGGAACAGAGGGGAAAGGGAGAGAGTGATGATGAAGCTCATGCAGAATCATGGGAATCAGACTCCAGAGACCAGATTCAAAGGTGCAGATCTACCTTTTTTTTTTTTTTATCTAGTGTAATAGCCTTTAAAAAACTGAAAGGACAACCAGATCATCCCATGCTAGCCTCCAGCACTAGTAACAATCAGGTTGTTGCAACTAGAAGGAAATGTGGGAGATGGGGGGGTGGGGAAGGAGGTCCCCTTAGGGCACAACCCTAACCTTGGATCCCTTTTGAGACTTCAGTAGTGTGCTAAGGGTTCCTATTTGAATCAGCACTGTGTGCAGCAGATCAGGAGTCGTAGAAGTCACTGATGTTTCACTTGCCGCCATCCCCTATGGGCCTCCAAAAGGCTTACCCACACTGTTTCTCTACTGAAATAACAATGCCATGCACACAGAAACACTGACCTGTACTCAAAGTAAAATCACTCAAACTTATATTTAAACATAAAATATTCTTTTTTGTTTTTTAATTTAATTTAATTTATATATTTATTTACTATAATTTATTCACTTTGTATCCCAGCTGCAGCCCCCTCCCTCATCTCCTCTCAGTTCCACCCACCCTTCTTCTCCCCCTAATCCCTTTCCCAAGTCCCCTAGTAAGGGAGGACCTCCTCCCCTTCTAGATGACCCTAGCTTATCAGGTCGTCTCATCAAGGCTGGCTGCATCATCGGTGGGAACTAGAAAAGATCATCCTGAGTGAGGTAACACAGAAGCAGAAAGACACACATAGTATATACTCACTTGAAGTGGATATTAGCCATATAATATGGGATAAACATACTAAAATCTGTAGCCCTAAAGAAGCTAAACAACAAGGAGGACCCTAGGGAAGAGTCTTAATTGTCATTCAGAAGGGCAAACAGGAAAGACATTGGAAGTAGAAGACAAGAAACAGGACAGGAGCCTTCCACAGAGGACCTCTGAAAGACTATCCATCAGGGTATTGCTGAGAAAATATCCATCAAGAAATACTGAGACTCATAGCCAAACTTTGGGCAGACTGCCAGAATCTAACGAAGGAGGGAGGAGATAGAAAGACCTCAAGGGGACATGAATTCCACAAAGAGAAAAACAGAAAAACAGCCAAAATACCTCGGCCCAGGGAACCTGTAGAGACCAAGACTCCAACTAGGGACTCCATGTCCAGAGAGGACCTAAACCCCCTGTTCAAAGGAAGCGGATTGGCTGCTCAGTTTCCAAGTGGGTTCCCTAGTAAGGGGTACAGGGACTGTCTCTAACAAGAACTCAATTTGATCACCTCCCCCTGGGCAGTGCAGACTTGCCAGGCCACAGAGGAACATAAAATATTCTTTACTCTGGTAAGACCCCAAGTCCAGCATTGTCCATCTTTAAAACGTTTAAGTAAAAAAGTTATATAGCACTCTTTTTTTTTCTTTTTTTTTTAATTATTTTTTTCTTTTTAGTTACATTTTGTTAACTCTGTGTCCCAGCTGTATCCCGCTCCCTCATTCCCTCCCCAACCCCACACTCCCTCCCTGGTCTCCTCCCTGCCCCTTTCCAAGTCCACTGATAGGGGAGGACCTCCTCCCCTTTCATTTGACCCTGTTTTATCAGGTATCTTCAGGGCTGGCTGCAAAGTCCTCCTCTGTGGCCTAACAGACTGCTCATCCCCGGGGGGGGGGGGGGGGGTCAAACAGCCTGCCCTTGAAATCCTGTTAGAAATAGTCCGTGTTCCCCTTACTTTGGAAAACTACTTGGTTACTGAGCTACCATGGGCCATAGGGCACTATCCACTCTTCTTTGGAGTATGCACTGTACATTTTTCATAAAGAAATTTCCATCTTGGGTACATTCTTATTAGTGAACCAAGATCTGGAATTAAACTACAAATAGGGCCACTACAAATAGGGCAGGGATGAAGAGACCCCCTACATTGTGCGCAGTGTATCTGCTTTGTCACAGTAAAGAAGATGGCTCAGTCAAGGCTCTGGTCTCTAGCATCTTTAGGCAGGTTATCTTCAGACATCTGCTCTCTAAGGCCCTCTGTTTTTCAAATGTCATTGCTCGTCACTCTCTGCAGGACCTTTCTTCCAGGATTTTGTCCCTTTCTGTTCTCCTGTGGTTTGATGAGTTTCCTGTGGTTTGCTTTAAAAATACGTAGTGTGAGCTTTATTTGGTTGCACTTCTTTCCTAACAATCTAGAATTAACTGTTTTCCATGGACCAAAACTTTAGCAGCTCGGCCTGATGTAACACTAGTGTTTATTCCTTAGATTTTTTTTTAATTGGCAAAGAGCTTTGACTGCAATAAAATGAAAATCACAAGCTGACTGTATAACAGTACAGAAGCAGGATAGGCCTGGGGCTTAAGAGCATTCAAAGAGACATGGATAAACACAGCAGAGGAAAATAAAGTGAATCAGAAAGACAGGGAATTGGTTGCTAGCTGAGGCCACGTGGCAGAAATATGTTCAACCAACTCAATTCAAGTGTCTGCATTTTCCCATCTAAGTGTCTATTACCAAGTATTCCCTCTTGATGTCTAAGACACTGGCTGTTCCAGAGATTTCCAGAATATTAAACGATCTTACCTTGTTCAGTTCATGTTCAGTCACTAATATAACAACCCGTATAACAACTCAGTAATGTCTCCTGTGCTGGTTAGTCTTTTGTCAACTTTGATAGAGTCATCTGGGAACAGAGAGATTCAGTTGAGAAAATGACTCATCTGATTGACCCACAGACAAATCAGTGGGGCATTTTCTTGACTAATGAGGAGTGTCCAATTCCCTGGGGGTGGTGCTGTCCCTGGGCGGATGCCCTGGGTTTTATAAGAAAGCAGGTTGAGCAAGCCATGAAAAGCAAGTCTGTAATCAATGTTCTTCTACTTCATCTGCTTCCATTCCTATCTCAAGGTTCCTGCCTTGAGTTCCTGCCTTGGCTTCCTTGATGATGCACTGTAACCTCTAAACCAAATGAACCCTTTCTCCCCAAACTTGCTTTTGATTATGTTCTTTATTGCAGAAATAGAAAGCAAACTAGGACATCTCCTTACTGTTTTTTCTTTATAATACTGTCAGCTTATTGGTTTTTTTTTCACCTTTATGACAAGATTCTCAAAGTTGGTTTGATTTAACGGATAAATTATAGGCTACATACATTGAAAATATTTCAAAATGTACAAATTCTACGTAAAATGTCATAAATTTATAGCTGAACTTACAGAAAATCTTCAATGTGGTAAGAACAAAGGATGACAATGATAAAGGATGGGCTGATAGGAATTCAGTGCTCATCCAAAAAGAGGAATTTTAAGATCAGACATGACAACAAGTGAGAGCTCAGATCCTCTGTAAAGCCACAACACTGTCAACACAATCAAAATGGAGTAGGAAACTACGAGCCAGGTCTTCAGGGCATTCATCGAGTATGTTTTGTCTTGGTCTGGGTTTGATATGTTAATGAGTCATCTTTCCTAAGAGTTATCACAGCCTCCTTCAAGCAGATGAAATTTTGAATTAGTACCACACACAGTGATTTGAAAATCTAGACTCTGAGAAATAGTTGTAAAAGTGGCTGCACACATATGGACACTATCTTGGGCTGGGTTATCTTAAGGGATTTTAACTGATTTTTTTTTCAAAATTGAAAGTCAGTCCTCAAAGTCAGAAAGTTTAGACTATGCCACCAGTTGCTGTTTTTAATTTATTATCATCAAATATGTTTATATAGGCCTACATACAAAGAGGGAACATATGAAAATTCCTCAAGTGAAAATGGTCCAGACAGAAAAGTTCTTGTATAAAGCACTTTAGGGATACTGGATAGAGGGCTGAAATGTTCATCACATCTTAGGAGTTCCAGAGTCACCTTTCTAATTACAAGATCCTGAAACCAGTGCCTTTTTAGTAATTTTCTCAACCTATTTTTCTATTGTGCTGATTTGAATTTGCCACCTGTTGAGGAGACATAGCAGTGGCCTTTTCATGTCAGTCCATATATAATCAACAAATTGCACTCACTGACAATCTTTTGTTTTATTTCACCTATCTGATATTTATGTTTACTGAAGAGTAAACTCTCTGAGCCAAAATTATTTTGTTTCTGTGCTAATGTACTCTCTCTTGAGAAAGGTATGTGAACAGTTGGTTCATAGCCCTATTGATCTCTCTGAGGAAATTAGTATATTCTGGTTTTTCCGAAAAGGTAGAGAAGATTTTGTGTAATTAATAAAGTATACATGAAATAAATAATAGTTTTACTTTAAGCATGTACTTTAACGTGATATAGGAGTTCTTCTGATTATAATGTTCTGCATGTATAAGTCAAATGACATTGTTTTCCCATCACGAAACTATAGGAAGTTGTGCTGAAGTAGTTAGCTTTTAATTAATTTTGTGCGTGGATGGCATACATACGAGGTCAGAGGACAGCTTGTACTGTTGTCTCTCTCCCCTTCCACAAACTTTGCCCTGGGAACCAAGCTCATTTCATCAGGCATGGCAGCAAGAACCTTTGGCCAGTGAGCCCTCTCACCAGCCCTGGTTATTTTTCTATATATCAATAACTTCATGAATGACTAGAATCTGTTTGGATCAAATTCACCCTCCCATTCCCTCTCCTTCATCTCCTCTTATACTTCACTGCCCATTTCCTCCATAACTTCATGTACTCTTTTACTGTTTTAAGTAATGTTTCAATAAAGTTAAATTTATTTTCTCTCATTCCTTGTATTCATAGATTGTGAGTGTTGGAAAGCATGTCAAAGGCTACCATTATATCATCGCAAATTTGGTAAGAAACATTGTTTTTCTATTTTTACTAAGAATTGATGAAGTATCCAGGATTATCTCTTAAATGATCTTCTAATCGATGGTTAAACAACATCATGCACTGTACTTCAGGTTATGTTATTAAAATAACCATCATATTTTAACGTAGAGTTTAGTATGCAATTTATGCAAATTAGATCGGATTTTCCAGGGAGACATTTAATAATAATTATTATGTTTGCTTTACCATGATATCACCTGTCAAATTAAATCCTGGCTTTTTGTCTGCTTATATGATAAATACATAGTCTACACATGAATATATTCTCCAGTTTTATGAAAAACAAGATACAATGGCTAATTACACAAATATTTTAAATGGGAATAATATGTTTTAAACTGCATCAATCTCTCAGATCACCTAGAGATGAATAATAAACAACACAGAATGAATTGCTTGCTGGCCTCAGACAAGCCTTTGTGGAGTATCTAGCAAGGCTCACTGAGTACTTCGGGTTAACCCACCAGCTTGGGGAAACTGGCTGTGTAGGATGTCATAATAGAAAAGTTTTATCTTTTCTATATAGAAAAGTTTTATCTTAGACCTTTATTTTCAATGTGGCTTATCCTAGGAGAGGCAATAATAATTTCATGGGTTTTTTCTATTATTTCCCATCACATATTTAATTGGTGAGAATCTTATTCCTGAAGCAGCAAAGCAAGTAAAGGGTAGAAAAAAAGACTCAGTCCTGTCATTTATCTGCATATTGAATGTGCATTCTCATGTCTAGATGGGTACACTGGCATGAGTGTGTCTTCACATGTTCATAGAGAGAGGTCCAGTCTTTGGTGAACTGGGTTTCAGCATAGAGCTGAGACAGTATTATGCAGTAATGGCATATGAAAATTATCATGCTGTATTTCTTGAGTAGAGTAAAATCCTACAACACAGTGGATTATTATAGAAATATCACCAAATTCGACTCATCTTTTCTATTTCTTTTTAGTAAACCACAGTTTATGTGTCATCTATTTCTAAACATTCAAATATTAAAGCAAGTCGGTTATGCTGGTGCACACTGGTAGGATATGCTGAAGGAAGCAGAGGCAGGAGGATCACAAATATTAAAGCAAATACATTTCTTATTAATCAATATATCATATAAGGCTATGATTAGGGGTATCTATATTCTTGTTGACATATAATGAGCATATAATTAATTACTGTACATGGGCAATTTGACATCTATTCTTTCTAAACCAAATAATCCAGAGAAGAAAATTAATATATTATAAACTATCATAGAAATGAGTGGCTTACATTGCCAGTTAGAACAAGCAAGACAATGCAAAATGATACTGGATCTCAGAGCCTGCTTTAAGCACCCTGAGTAGGTGGCAACATATTTATACTAAAGTATCAACATATGAAACAGAAATATGCTTGTTTCCTAGAAGGTGATGCATAACCCTAACTAGAATATAAAGCTTTTATCATGATTAAGCCAGGGACATGAACTCAGCTGTGTTATAATATACAGCATAGATACAGATTCTCTTGGCATTCATTCGTCCATATAGAATAACTAGTCTCAGTGCTTTTAGCCAATCCAAAACCATTTCTTAATAACTATATATAAAATTCCCAAGTGCAAAATTTGTTCAGAATTCATATAGAAAATTTTATTAAGATTTCAACTTAATGTTAAAAACTGATTTCACTGAAATTAAAGATGATAGGGGGCTGGAGATATAGCTCAGTTAGAATAGAACTTGCCTAGCATGCTCAAAGCCCTGAGTTCTGTCAGCAGTACCACATAAATTCAATATGGTGGTGCAGGCCTGTAATCCTAGAACTCAAGGGTATAATCAAAAGGATCAGAACTTTACATTCATCCCAACCTACATAGCAAGATCAGCCTAAGCAAAAAGGGACACTGTCTTTAAAATAAGAAAAGATAGAAACAAGATACGGATATATTATCTATCATACTATTTTTACTGAACATTATAAAATAGGTCTTACCAAAAGTAGTTAGGCAAAAAAGAAATAAAAGTTACCTATACTGAAAAAAGGAAGTTTTGTGTGTAAGAATATCATAAGAAATTTTTAAAATAATTATTGGGCCTATAAATGAGTTCAGCAGGTATATAGGCTACAAGGTCAATAAATAAACATTTATTGTATTTATAATATGATAAAACTCTCAGAAATAACTTTAAAATAATTAGAATTATTCAATTATAGCTTGCAATTAATGAGAGACTATTACTTCATCTGTCAGAATGACTTAGTCACACTTTGAAAGTCAAAGCAGTAGTATAAGATAAAACCTATATTTACCAAAAGGAGAATAAATCTAAGTCAGCATCGTTATGTGGGAAATTGTAATATGAATTCATAGGCATGCTTTTTTTGTCAAAATCAAGGATACCCTTTATCTAAACAAGGTTAACGCCTAGAGAACATGGGCTTAAATATGGTATTTTAATTGGCAGAGTACAGGGAGCCTAATAGAAGAGTGGGGGTATAGAAGGGCCCCAGAGGGGACAGGAGCTCCACATGAAAAGCAACAGAGCCAACAAATCTGAACCCAGGGGCAGCCTGTGGAGACTGAGACACCAGCCAAAGACCATGCTTGGAGATGATTTAGGCCCTATGCTCAGATGTAGCCATAGGCAGCTCAGTCTCCATGTGGATTCCATACGGGGGCTGTCTCTGACATGGACTTTGTTGCCTACTCCTCAATCGCTTCCTGCTGGCAAGGAAGCCTTGCCAAGACACAGAGGAAGAAGATGCAGCCAGCCCTGATGAGACTTGATAGGCTGAGGTCTGTAGTTAAGGCAGGAGGGCTCTCCCTTTCTGAGGACTATGGGAAAGGAATGGGGCAAAGAGGGAGAGAGGGTAGGACCAGGATGAGATGAGAAAGGGGACTATGACAGGGTGTAAAGTGAATATTTAAAAAAAAAACCAAATAAAATAAAAATGATTAATCCTCCGACTGGGTGTGGTGGTTCATGTCTATAATCCCAGCACTTGGAAGGTTGATGCAGGCACATAGTACCTTCAAGGCTACCCTGGGCTAAGGAAGTTCAAGGTGAGCTTGAACAACGTAGTAAGATACTTCATTAAGTAAAAAGTTAAGGAAGAGTCAGGGATCGTGGATGACACTTGCAATTCCAGGATTCCATAGGCTGACACTGGAGGACTGCCACAGATTCAAGGCCTGCATAGGTTTGTAATAAGTTCTAGGCCAATCTAGGTTGCAAAAATTGGACCCTGTCTCCGAAACTGCAATACAAGCAAGTAAGCACACATAAAATAACTGTACTAACTGAGGAACAAAATAGGGAATCTCATGGAAATCTTGTCTTCTTATTGTGTTTGGCAGAAATAAAAGCAAATTCAAATTATTTTTAAAAATATTTTATAAGTTCCTTATGAGTAAAGATGCAATGGGTTGTTAATACTCATTAGCAGTGTTTATGGTTGCCTTATAGTACCTTTAGGTTGAATTTATCTTCTCAGTTAGCTACCATTCAGTCCATATTTCACTCTGCCTTCACAAAATGGGTATAAGTTGACATCTCCAAGTCACAGTAATGGCATATTCCAGCTTGATGCAATCCCTGGCATCATGCTGGCACCTAGAAGTGACATCACCTCTCTCGAAATGAATTGAATTGATGGTTCCTTTGCCTCTTACTCAAGCCTGAACCCACTGAGGATCTGTCTTAGTTACTTATCTCTTGTTGTGACAAGACACCATGACCAAGGCAACTTACAGAAAAGAGAAAACGTGGCGCGTACAGTTTGAGGTGTAGAACCGTCCTGACAGCAGGCAGCAGGCAGCGAGACACAGCACTGGAGCAACGGCCGAGAGTTTTCGTCTCGAGGCATCTGTGAGTCAGAGAGAGAACAAACTGGGAATAACTTTGGGCTTCTAAAACCTCAAAGCCCACCCCCAGTGACACACCTTCCCCAACAAGGCCACACCTCCTAACCTTTCTCAAACAGTTTTACCAACTGGGAATCAGTTATTTAAATAAATGTGCCAATAGGGCCATCACATTCAAAACACCACAGAGTCCGAGAGGTTTTTAAGATTTGATACTAAGGCCTTTCTGGTAACAGCTGCATATTAAAGATGAAGGGAAAGTACAAGTCGAAGGTTGTTTAAAAGTTCTTTAACTTTCCTGTCTCTTTTGTGTGATTCGGACAGTGCGCCTGTAGTTTTTCAGCCACACCAATTATCTAGAGCTGTTCTTGAAAGCAGACCATGTCATAATAAGTATTATTCTAGAAATAGAATATTCTAGAAGTAGGCATTTCCTGTTGGCTCAGTGTATGCTTTCTAGGAGATGGAAGTAAGAAAAAAAATTGCTTTTCCACTTGGCCCTTAGACTCTCTCTTTTTCAGTTTTGTTTTGTTTTTTTTTTTTTTTTACATTACTGCCAGTTAAAAATACAGGCATGATCATATCATTTTTCTGGGGGTTTTTCCCATTCTACAAAAATCGTGAAAATACCACTTTTCAATAATTGACCCCTTGTGGAATCTTCAGCATTCTCAGCGAATTCTTGCCTGTCCTCTATGCAGGACTTGCGTTTCTCCAAAAATGAAGTACAGACCCAAATCTAACTCAATGCTCCAGTATTTTACAGCCTACTGAAATGAGTATAGCACTGCGTTACATAAATCTTTTCATCTCAGCTCTTCACTGTCTCACTTAATGAAGACAGCGTGGTAAAGATTTTATCCTATTAAATAAGCCCTGGGGTCTTTTTCCTAATCCACAGTGTGCGCTGCTTTTCCAAACCGAACAATTTAATGTGCCCATTGCTGCTTTCTCTTGGTAGCCCTTGTGGCTGTTACCTCCCCTCAGAGGCATTTCTCCCACTGGATCTTCGTGATGAGTTAGTAAACCTCTGTTAGAGAATTGTCCTTAAGCGCTTGGATTATCTTTTGAGTTCTAGATTCAGAAATGACAGCGTGTCCTAATATTATCTTTTTCTACCTCAAATTGTTCTTTTAAACCTACTGTGTATTAAAAAGTTTCCAAAGTCCTTTGGCACAGTTATAAATAAGGAATTGGCTTACAGCAATCTTGTTCAGGCCAGGATAGCCTTTCTTCTTCCTGTATGAAATGGCTCTTCACCTTTCTTCTGTATCTAACTGAACTTACACTCTATACTCTTCTGCTTTGGTTATTATGCTTGGATTTTTTTAATGTTAATTGATTTTATTGGTCCTTTAAAAATAGATGTGTTTATTTTATAGACTGGAAGATAAAGTCTGGTGTAATTTACTCACAATCATACAGATCATTAAATCTCAAAGGCAAGTCTGAAGTTCTGACCTGTCTGTTTGAAAGAGTAAATAAGTTCTTAAGTAAATAAACATATCCAGAGAACCAGAACACACAGTGAACATTCATTTGAACACACCCACAAGCTTCAGGGGCATCTGACCTTAGACACGTTACTATGTCTGTATCTTTACTCCTCCTTCAGCTACTGAACAATTTAAGTATGGCTGCCGATAGCACTCTTGGCACAAAGCCAGAAGCCTAAAGTTCTTCTTTAGGTTTTTAATTTTTAAAATAAACTCAGTTCATATCTAAGAAAGCACTAAGATCTCAAAGAAGAATAAAATTATAACATAAAACTAAAGGCTACTGAATCCATTACACACAGAGAGACACACACTGCATATAAACATCATTCATAGCTCAATCACTTGCCTCCTTAGTGCAGTAGGTGGCAGGTCAGTCTCACACCTCAATCAAAGGTAAAGAAATGATACAAGAGTAAGGGATTTAGCCTCTTTTAGGTACTTTATTAGCTTCAGTGTGGGAACCGGACAAAATCCATCAAACGTCCAGCCTAGCAGCTTTATATAATTACAATGACCCAGTTAAGGGTCTACCAACTTGTCAACCCTGTCCTGCTTCTCTTTTTGTGCTTCCTGAATGTTTCAACTTTTCTGCCCTAATCTACATGGGCATCAAAAGTGGCTACCTAAACTTCGTCTCTTCACAGTGAGCTTTAAAAGATAATAAGAGAGGCTTTTTCTCATTCTTCTTGCTCTTCCCTTGGTAACTGTACTGGAGCTGCCTTGGCACGACTTAATGTGTAAAATGTAGCAGAAATATTGATCAGAATCAGATAAAACATAAAGATAGGCCTTTATTTACATTACTGGCATGGTCAGCTTGTAAAGATTTCCTAAGCAGAGGATGTTCAGACCACAAACGGAAATTAAAAAGAAAGTCAAGTTGGGAATGAATCTGTAGAGTTCACTACCCACTGTGAAGTGCAATATCAGAGGTTATTTCCACAAGTTGGGGAGTGCACCCTTGCCTAGGAAACTTTGTTTGTTTTGATTCTTAACCACTGATTTTTCCAGTAAGTTCATCATGGTGTGGCCATAGAGCCCCTTCAGCCCCATGATTTTCTGTAGATTCCAACAAAAGCTAAAATGCTCACCAAAGTAACTGTTGCCAAGGAAACTAGCTCACAGTCTAGATCCTATCAATTTTCTATATAAAATTATGAGGACGTAATGGAAGGGGCGCCTGTACTCAAACAAATGTAGCCCAAATTAACCAAGCCACCCACCATTCATTTAAACCATAACTGGCAGGCGCTTGCTACAATCAGACACAAGAATTGTTTTTTCATTTACCTTCAGTGTACTGTTTGCCAGACTCTGCATCTAAGGGTGTCCCTGGGGCTGCAGTTTGCCTGTGGCTAAAGCTGCAAGGAAGGTAGCTCTAGCGACCTTCTATTTCAGCGAAGACTGATAGAAAATAATAATCTCATAAATTAGTTGCTAATGCAAAAGCTGAATTACTGTGGCTTTTTAGAAAACAGTAAAAGTATTTGTCTGCCGGTGGGTCTGCCCTACATGCTGTTAAACGCACAAAGGTTCCACGCTGACCGTTGAGTAGCTAGAGATTGATGAGCAATGTTTTCCCCATTTCTAAAACGTAAATTTGCTTTGTGATGGCTAGCTTGTTTCTCAATGAAAAGAGAATGTTACTGATGAGCTGTCAAATTGGCCAGTGCATAACAGACCCAAAATTAATATTGGTTAAGTGAATTAATTAATAATCACTCACAATTACTGAATGCATACCCGAGATGTTAGATACTAGGAGTATTATCCTTCTGTCTTCATGTGGAGGTAATCCATGGTTAGAATGCAACAAAGGTGAGAATCAAAGGCTAGGTTTCTTTTGTGCCTTTCCTCTCCTGGTAATATTATAGCAATTTACAAAATTAAAATTAGACGATATGAAGGAAGTAGAAAGGGTGAACACAATCATCAACTTACCTGATCAAAGCTTGGCTCTATTGTATATGCATCGACGGCCTTCAAAAGATTTTTGTTTTACACCACTGATCCTTAGTTACTTTAAAATTAATCCAGTCTACCCAGTAACCAAGGGATGGTAAAGCTGTACAGATAAACTGTGATGTAATTGAAACAGAACCTGGCAAACAGTGAATCCAATTGTAATATAAACGCTGGTGCATAGTATTGGCTATAGTTATCAGTGAAATAAGATGTTTCTTCTTGCATAAACAGGAATGTGATTACATGAACCAGGAAGGAAATCTTCTTTAACCTGCAGATGTTGAAGATCCAAACACTTAAGGAACTAAATTTGATGAGCTTTTCTACTAATTTACAGGGTTTCAAGGATATTTCTCTTGAGAGATTTATACATGGAGGAGCAAATGTCACTGGATTCCAGTTGGTAGATTTTAATACTCCCATGGTAACCAAGCTAATGGATCGCTGGAAGAAATTAGATCAGAGAGAGTATCCAGGGTCCGAAACCCCTCCAAAGGTATTTGCTTTTGAATATTGTATACTGTTACCATCTTACATTGTTTTAGGTCGTTTTAAGTGTCTGTGTATCATGTGCATGCCTGGTACCTTCAGAGGATACAAGAGGGAATCAAATCCCCCAGAGCTAATGTTACTTGATGGGTGCTGGGAACAGAACCCGGGTTTGTAAAAGCAACAAGATTTGCCAAACCGAATCTCTAGCCCATGTTACTGTGGTTTTTATGATTTCTTTTCACTCTTTCGGACACATTGTCATCTTCTCACTGTCCTTGCACTAAAAAAGCATTGAGTGCTTCATAAATGCCTGTGTAGATCTCCAGCATCCACATATAAACAAGCCAGGACAGCCCTGTATTGCTGTAGTCACAACCTCGTGCTAGTGTCCAGGGAAAGGGCTTGTTCTAAGCAACGGGCTGGCAAATCACCTGAACAGACTTCTAGCCTCCAGATGTTCAGTCACAGGTGAGCACACCTTCAGCTTCATGGGCCCATGCGCGTTCATACACGTGCCATACATGCACACAGGCATTCACACACCTCTTAATGAACACCTAAATGAAAATGACAATAATTGATTTTTCTACCCAGAGTTTTTTTTTTTTAAAAAAAAAAAAAAAAAAAAAAAAAAAAAACACCTTTGGAAAAAATAGTTTATAGCAAGTAGATAAGTAAGAAAACCAGTAGAGATAAAAATGTAAAGCTTATGTACAATGCCTCTTTTAATGTCAAAGTAAAATACTTAGAGCTTTAATTTTTTTTTTAATTTTATGTATTGGTTTGTCTGTGTATGGGTTTCTCTATGAGAGTGTACCCAAAGAGGCCAGAAGAGGGGGCCAGATCTATGAAGATGTGGTTTCCAGCAGCGGTGAGCAATGATATGGGTGTTAAGAACAAAATTCAGTCATCTGCAAGAGCAACAAGTGCTTTTAATCTCTGAGCCATCTTTTTTGGTGTATGTGTATGATATGAAATGGTATGATATGATATGATATGATATGATATGATATGATATGATATGATATGATATGATATGATATGATATATGTATGACATGTATATTTTACATATGCATATACCATATAAGTACATTATAATTATGTATATTACATGATGTTGTACATTATCAAGAAAAGGGTTTAACATACATTTAAGGCAGAGAGAGGTATTTGGGAAAAAAAGATAAACACCCAAGATGTGAATGTCAGCTTCTCCAAAGAGAAAGCCATCTGATTTTATATATGTGTGTGTGTGTGCATGTATGTGAGTATGTTATTGGCATTTATAGAGGAAGCTGACAAGTTTCTACTCAGGATGCATTTTGTTTCATCTCAAAGGATAGGTCCTAAATATCATCTCAATGATGGCATTATGCTCTGACTCCAACTTAGTTTTTTTGAGCACGACGCAATGAATCTTTTTCCCCCATTCTCTTATGTTTTTTTCTCATTTATTTATTTTATTCACTTTACATCCTTGAAGCACCTTCGCTTTTCCTCTCCCAGTCCTACCCCCTCTCTCTCCCCTCACTCACCTCGCCTTTTACTCAGAAAAGGGGAACTTCCTTTCCCATCCATGCCAGCTCATCAAGTTGCATCAGGACTGAACCTGCCCTCTTACCCTGTGGTCCGTCAAGGCAGTCGCTACAGGGGAAAGTGACCTAAAAGCTAGCAAATGAGTCCATGTCCAATGCAGTCCCCACTTCCCTTACTAGATGACCCACTTGAAGCCAAAGCTGTCCATCTGCTACATCTTTGTAGCAGGCTAGGTCCAGTTCATGCAGTCTCAACAGACCCCTCTGGGTCTTGGTTAGTTGGCTCTGTTGTTTTCTGTGTGTGTGTGTGGAGCTCCTGTCACTTCTGGGTCCTTTTCTCTTTCTTCCCACTATTCCCCAAGACTCCTTACACATTAACTCATGTTTGGCTCAGCATCTGTTCTGAGGCTCTGTTCGGTAGAGCCTCTCATAGGACAACTCTGATATGCTCCTGTCTGCAAGCTTGGAGGAGTATTGTTGATAGTGTCAGGGGTTGGCAGTCTTCGATAGGGTGGGGTTTTTGTTCAGCCAGGCATCAGTTGGGCGTCCCCTCAATCTCTGTTCTATCTTTATCCCTGTGCATCTCGTAGGCAGGGTAAATTGAGTCCAAGTTCTTCTGGGTGGGTTGGTGTTCCCGCCCTTTCCTAGAGTGTTCTGGTTAGAGGATGTCTAACCAGTCTCTGTGCTCTCTGCTGTTAGGAATCTCTGCTTGGCTCCCACTCATACCCTCCCAGTAGGCTGCCCTGGCTTAGGTCTCCAGCATTTCACAAACATGCACCACCCTCCACCACCCTCCGTTTCTCTTTTCTCTACAGGCCTTCTGTCTTCTCACACTTGCTCTCCTCAGATCTAATTCCGCCCTCTTAACTCTCTGGCCCTCTTTCCTAGCTTGTTTCCTCTATTCAGCCATTACCTCTGTCTACTCTATCTCCCCTTCTGAGCGAGATTTATGCATCCTCCCTTAGATCATCTATGTTACTTACTTCTTTGAGTCTGTGCCTCGTAGTATGCTAATCCTGTACTACATGGCTAAAGTCCACTTAGAAATGAATCCATACCATGTGCATCTTTCTGGGTCTGGGTTACCTCACTCAGGGTGATTTTTTCCAGTTCCATCCATGTGTCTGCAAATTTCATGATTTCTTTGTTTTTAATAGCTGAGTAGTATTCCATTGTGTAAGTATGCTACCATTTCTTTATCCATTCTTCGGTTGAGGGACACCTGGGTTATCTCCTCATTCTGGCTATTGTGAATAAAGCTACAATGAACATAGATGAGCAAGTGTCCTTGCTGTATGGCAGAGCATCTTTTGGATATATACCTAGGAGAGTTATAGCTGGATCTTGAGGTAAAGTTGTTCCCAATTTTGACTTCCACAGTGGTTGTACAAGTTAGGATTAACATAGTAAAAATGGCATAGTACCAAAGGCAATCTACATATTCAATGCAATTCCCATCAAAACACCAGCACATTTCTTTACAGACCTTGAAAGAACAATTCTAAACTTCATATGGAAAAAAAATCACCATAGCTAAACAATCCTGTACAATAAAAGAACTTCAGGAGTTACCTCAATCCCTTAAACTTCAAGCTATACTACAGAGCAATAGTTAACAAAAACTTCATGGTACTGGCATAGAAATAGGCTGGTTTATCAAGGGAATCAAATTGAAGACCCAAAAAATAAACCCACCTACCTATGGTTACGTGATTTTTGACAAATGGGCCAAAGTCATACAATGGAAAAACAACAGCATCTTCAACAAATAGGGCTAGAATAACTAGATATTGACATGAAGAATAATGCAAATAGATCCATATCTATCTCCCTGCACAAAGCTCAAATCCAACTGGATCAAAGACCTCAATATAACACCAGATACACTAAATCTATTAGAAGAGAAAGTGGGAAAGAGCCCCAAACTCATTGGCACAGAAGAAAACTTCCTGAACAGAACACCAATAGCTCAGGCTCTAAGATCAACAATTAATAAATGGGACCTCATGAAACTGAGAAGCTTATGTAAGACACTGTCAATAAAAGAAAAAAACAATCTACAGATTTGAGAAAGATCTTCACCAATCTTACATCTGACAAAGGGCTAATATACAAAATATATAAGGAACTCAAGAAATCAAACACCAATAATATAATAAACAAAATAATAAATAATGATAAAATAAGCAAAATAACTCAATTAAAAATGGGGCACAGAACTAAACAGAGAATTACTAACAGAAGAATCTTGAATGGCCAAGAAGTACTTAAAGCAATGCTCAGTTTCCTTAGTCATCAGGGAAAAGCAAGTCAAAATGAATCTGAGAGTCCGTCTCACACCAGCCAGAATGGCTAAGATCAAAATCTCAAGTGAAAATACATGCTGCGAGGGTGTGGAGAGAGGGAGCACATCATGAATCTTAATATGTAATCTTTCCTCAACTATGCATTTCAAAGGAGTTTTATACTTTGAAATTTGGACTTAGAAAAACTAAGATCAATGAGTTCAATCAGCTATTGAATTTCCTAGCTATATGGTTTGTTTGTTTGTTTGTTTGTTTGTTTCTGTTTTTGTTTGGTTGTTTGGTTGTTTGTTTTGGGTTTTTTCTGTTTTTAAATTGGCTGACAATGTCCACTATTCAATGTTGGATTTAGAGAGGTACCTTATAGAATTAAGGAATTTTAAAATGATGTATTTATTGGGTGTCCACCATATACTAATCACTGTTTGACATTTTTAATGCATACGAGATGGTAATTTGCCAGTCAAAGACCAAAGGTCATGTGCTTTAACCTGTTTTTGGAATTTGGCATTCTCCCCACCCTACGGAGTTTGACTGACACCTTGGAAGGACTCTGTCCTGACAAGACAAGATATTCTGCCACCACAGTCTGTCAAATAATCTGATCTGCTGTGTGCTGCTATGAAAATTTGCTTGTGAAATCCTTCTGTCACCAAATTTCCTTGAAAAATCCCAGTTTACACTTTCTTCTATGAAATGAGGCTTACAAAGTGAATCCACATGGCTCTCTCAAATCCTGCTTTGAATAGATACATTGTAAATAAAGCTTGCTTAACTGGCTTTTTTTAAACAATTTATTTATTTTATATCCTTATTGTAGCCCCCTCCGTCATCTCCTCCCAGTCCCACCCTCCTTCTCTCTTCCCTAGTTCACTGAAAGTGGGAGTTCTCCTCCCCTGCAATCTGACCCTAGCTTATAGAGTCTCATCAGGACTGCCTGAATCTTCTTGGGTCTCCCAAGTAAGGGAAGCATGGGCTGCCTCTGCCATGAACTCAGTTGCCTGCTCTTTGATCACGTCCCTCTGGAGATGTAGCATTGTCAGGTTTAACTGGCTTTTAAAGAAAGGTCAGTGATCCATGGAATATAGAAGATATGATCATTTTATTTTCCCATTTTTTAATGATCTCCAACTTGATTTCTTCATACTATTCTTTGGGTTATTT